CCCCACCGCAACCTCGACCTGCTGGGCTCTGGTGATCCTTCCGCCTCAGCCTTCCAAGGAGCTGGAACTACAGGTGCACGCCACCACGCCCAGCTAATTTTTGATTTATTGTATAAATGAGGTCTCGCCAAGTTGCCTGGGCGGATCTTGAACCCGCAGGCTCAGGCAGTCCACTCACCTTGGCCTTTCAAAGCACTGGGATTACAGGCTGAGCCACCGCGCCCAGCCTCTTGGATGTATATTTCAAATATTTCTGTTTGTTTGTTTTCTGCATAAAGTCTAAAACAACACACGTATACTGGAGTGCAGGTATATGTTTGACAGCTAGTTCACTGAGGGAAGATGTGCTTTGGTTTTTAGCCTTTGACAATTTCCATGACAGAAATATTCCCTTCATGGACAGTTTCAAGCTACCAAAGTGGCATCAACTGACTCCCAACATTTCTAAAAATTTGACAATCAGGCTGGGCTCGGTGGCTCAGCATGTCATCCCAGCACTTTGGGAGGCTGAGGTGAGTGGATTGCCTGAGCCTGTGGGTTCGAAACCAGCCTGGGCAACTTGGTGAGATCTCGTCTCTACAATAAATAAAAAATTAGATGGGCATGCTAGTGTGTGCCTGTAATTCTGGCTCCTTGGAAGGCTGAGGTGGAGGGATAGCTTGAGCCCAGCAGGTTGACGCCAACTCAAAAAAACAAAACAAAACAAAAAAACAAAAAAAAATCTGACAATCAGTTTTGTGGGCTGTTACTAGAGGCCTCTATCCTCCCACTGATCTATACACAACTATGAGCAATGGTTACTTCCAAGGTGTATGAATTGAAGACTTTTTTATTTTGTTCATATCTCTGTATAATTTAATTTGGATTACTATGTTCTGTCGCTAATTTTTAAAATTAAGAAAGTTACATATCGATTTTTTTTTCTCAAGCCTCTTGTTCATTAAAACCCATTTTCACTTAAAAAAACAAAATGAAGCCGGGCTCGGTGGCTCAGCCTATAATCCTGTACTTTGGGAGGCTGAGGTGAGTGGATTGCCTGAGCCCACGGGTTCGAGACCCGCCTGGGCAACTTGGTGAGACCTCATCTCTACAATAAAATCAAAATAAGCCGGGCATGGTAGCGCGCGCCTGTAGTTCCAGCTCCTTGGAAGGCTGAGGCGGAAGGATCGCCGGAGCCAGTAGGTGGAGGCTGCGGTGGCCAGGAGCGGCCACTGCACTCCAGTCTGGGCGACAGAGTGAGACTCCAACTTAAAAAAAGAAATAAAAAACGAAAAACAAAATGAAGTAAATGGCTGACTCTTCAGAGCCTTAAAAAATAAAAATAAATTTAAAAAATGAAACCAATTTTCATCTTCTTAAAAACGACTACTGCCTAAACTTGAGAATGCCACATAAATCTGAATATGGACTCTTCTTGTTGTACAGTATTGTAGCCAAAGCGAGCCAACTTCTTTTTGTGACTGTTTTTGACTGCAGGATATGTTGCAGTTCTACTTGAACTTGACTGAGGCGAATCTCAAGGGACGGTCCAACTGGCTGCTGGAGTACATTCTGACACAGACCTATGGCGTTGAAGATTTGCAGCCAGGAAGCTTATACGGGTTAGCTAAGCAATTTGCCCTCCTAGGGAGCAAGCAGTTTATAAAATACTACAATTACTTCTATGTGAGTTATGACAGCAGTGCAATTTGTGATGAGACATGTAAACCCTTTCAAATTTGTGCCATTATGAATCTTGATCAAATTTCCTATACAGATTGCCTCAAACAATATTATATAAAACAGAATCACTAGGGTTTCACAATGTGTGTTCGTAGGAAAGAGAACATTGCTCTGCTTCTGAGATCAGTTTGTGGGAATTTTATGTAAATCTTTGTGAATTACTGAGTGGGTGGTGTATGAGTCTGTTCTTGCATTGCTGTAAAGAAATACCTGAGGTTGGGTGATTTATAAAGAAAAAGGTGGCCGGGTGTGGTGGCTCAGCCTGTCATCCCAGCACTTTGGGAGGCCGAGGTGAGTGGATTGCCTGAGCCTGTGGGTTCGAGACCAGCCTGGGCAACTTGGTGAGACCTCGTCTCTACAGTAAATCACAAAACTAGCCAGGCATGGTGGCGCATGCCTGTAGTTCCAGCTACTTGGAAGGCTGAGGCAGAAGGATCGCCGGAGCCTAGCAGCAGATCGAGAGACTGTGAGTGTGCCACTGCCCTCCAACCTGGATGACAAGAATGAGACTCCAACTCAAAAGAAAAGAAAAGAAAAAGGGCGCATTTGGCTCACCATTCTGCATGGTGCTGGCATCTGCTGGGCTTCTGGTGCGGGCTCAGGAGGTTTACAGTTGTGGCAGAAGGTGGAGAGGAAGCTGGCACGTCACGTGGCGAGACCTGGAACACGGGAAAGACGAAAAGGTGCCATGCTCTTTGGAACGTCCAGCTCTCTCTGGAACTGACAGAACAAGAATTCACTCATCACTGCAAGAATGATACCCAGCCATTCATGAGGGAATCTGCCCTCATGATCCAGTCACCTCCCGCTAGGCCCTACCTTCAACGCCGGGGACCACATTTAAACATGAGATTTGGAAGGGACAACCATCCAAGCTACGTCAGTGAGTAAGCAGAATTCCTGTCTTTGCTCTCTGACTGTGATGCCCAAACGTAGATGTCTTCAGCGTTCTAAGTGCTTATTATATTGAACATATTTAAACTTCCCATCAATAGACTGATGCTTGGATGTACATATCCTGTCTTTCACTTTATGTGATTATACCTAATTTATGCCCTTGTTGAAATGATCATTGATTCAATAAAGCAAAGGACTCCTTCCTAAGTGTGCTGAAGTATTGTTAATATGATAATTTTCAGTCTTTTCATTCACTCCTATGGAAACCTCAGATGAAACCGAGGCTCCCACTCTTTACCTCTCATGTGTAAACTAAAGTTCATGCTGTTTACAGGCACTGACTACTCTTGAGAAAATACCAAGATCTCATTAGGGCCATCTCTGAGTCTGTCAACCATCTCGGAACATCTATTGCTTAGCTTTGTTCATCCTGTGAGTCTTTGGGTCTGCTGACTTTTATTTTATTCCAGTTTATTTTATGTTTTAATTTCTTGAGTTGAGGTCTCACACTCTCCCTTAGGCTGGAGTCCCGTGGCATGATCATCACAGCCTCTGCCTCCTGGGCTCAGGTAAACCCTTCACCTCAAGTCTCATGAGTGGAGGAGGTCTCCTATGTTGCCCAGGCTGGTCTCAAACTCCTGGGCTCAAGCAATCCTCCCGCCTCAGTTCCAGAAGGGCTGGGATTACAGGCATGAGCCACTGTGCGCAGCTGGCACTACCAGCTTTTAAGGATGAGAATTTCACAAGTTATATTTATTGCAATTTCACTGCTAACCTAAGGCCTGGGTCCTAGTCCAGTGCCTGGCACCTAGTCAACAATTGCTTAAATAAATTGAAAGCTATGACTATTTCTCAAAGAAATACCCTGGGATGCAGTGGTGGCATTTTTTTGGTCACTGTGTTCCAAGAGAGAATAAAAATGAGCTTTTTATTTAAGGAGATTATTTCTGGGACCCTTCAGCAACTCAACCTATTTTCTTCTTTCAGGCGAAATGGGAGAGTTAGAGTATCAGAGAGGAGGGAAAGCTGAGGGGTTTAAGGGAAAAGAAGACCGTGTACTCCAATACTCTGGCTGGCCAGAGAACACTACTAAAGAAAAAGTTCTTTATGACACTTGTGACTGACTTTATTCAAGGTAGGCCATGGTGAATGGTGTAGGGACCACTGCAGTGAGGTTTTACAGTGTGAGAGAGTGAACTCCATTGTGACTGCAACAAGATCAAAAAGGAATTTATAACCAAGGCACAGGGTGGGGGTCAGCAGATGGAAAATTACTAAGAAAAACATCAAGGAAACTCCTGGGCTATGCTGGCTATGCTGAGGGCAAACCAGCATGATAAGATGAAGGGTTGTCAGATACGAGGGTGGGGATTTTCCCTAAACTGACTTAGCAGTATTTTTTTTTTCTTTTTCTTTCTTTTTTTTTTTTGAGTCGGGGTCTTACTCTGTCACCCAGGCCGGACTGCAGCGGCAGGATCCCAACTTACCGCAGCCTTGACCTCCTAGACTCAGGCGATTCTCCTGCCTCTGCCTCCCAGATAGCTAAGCCTACACGCATGCACTGCCGTGCCTGGCTTTAGTATTATTATTATCATCATTTTTAATTTTTAGTTTATTATTTTTTTATTTTCCGTAGAGACAGGTCTCGCCAAGTTGCCCAGGCTGGTCTTGAACTTCTGCGCTCGGGAAATCCCCTCACCTCAGCCTCCCAAAGTGCTGGGATCACAGGCCTGAGTCACTGTGCCGTTCTCAGTGAGATTCTTGCTCCTTCTGGATTCTGCCCGAACTAAGAAAAACCCCGGTGCTGACCTCGGCAGGCAGAGGGATCAGAGGAGCCTGGCCGAAATGTCAAAGGAGAGTGTTTGTATGAAGACAGAATCAGTCGGGCTCGGTGGCTCAGGCTATAATCCCGCGCCTTTGGGAGGCCGAGGTGAGTGGATTGCCTGAGCCCGCGGGTTCAAGACCCACCTGGGCAGCGAGACCTCATCTCTACAATAAATCAAAAAATCAGCCGGGCCTGGTAGTGCGTGCCTGTAGTTCTGGCTACTCGGAAGGCTGAGGCGGAAGGATCGCCGGAGCCCAGCGGGTCGAGGCTGCGGTGGCCGGGAGCGGCCGCTGC